CGTCCTCACCACGATAATAATCTTCCTCTCCGCCACGAGAATCATCTTCTTCAGCGCCATGAGCATCATGTTCCTCTCCGCCACGAGAATCATCTTCCTCAGAGCCACGAGAATCATCTTCTTCAGCGCCACGAGCATCATCTTCCTCAGAGCCACGAGCATCATCTTCCTCTCCGCCACGAGAATCATCTTCTTCAGCGCCACGAGCATCATCTTCCTCAGAGCCACGAGCATCATCTTCCTCTCCGCCACGAGAATCATCTTCTTCAGCGCCACGAGCGTCATTTTGTGCGACACGAACACCACCTTCCTCTGCGTTAACTTCTCCGCTCAGATTGGCCCTCCGTTTCGACCTTGTCTGTTCCGGAAAAATTGGTACAAGGGTTGGAGCAATTGGAGTTTTCCGGACGAAATTCTTCAAACCGAGAGGTTTTAATTGACCCCGTATCTGGAATTATATTTAATTATTAAATAAGCGTCCATTTATACAAATATCAACTTACCTTCATATAGCATCCTTGACAAATGATCTCCTTTTTATCGCTATCGTCCGATTTTCCATTCATGTAAGCCTGGTAAAGTGGCCATAATGAAGGCTGCCCTAATCGACTCCGTTTTTGGGTGGTAGTAATATGATGATTACAATCTTCCATGAAACACTTTATATTTGGCATTTTTGAAGTAGTTGGTGCGAGATGATATGTGGGGTGAGAAGAAAGTTTTCAGAAGTAATTTTTTATTTTGCAAAAACATCACTATTGATTGTTGATTTTTTTTATTTTACAAAAAAAAATCAACCATTAGCAACAAAATGTATGAAATAAATCAGTAAAAAGTGGGTTACATATGAGAAATGCATGCAAAACTATGTATGGTTGTGGTCAAAAATCATGGTATCGTAATTGCGCCGGTTTTTTTATGTTTGTATTTTCTCAATCTTCAACACATTTGCAATTTAATAAAAATAGACTCGAAAAACCGGCGCAATTACGATATCATTTTATCCGGCCCCAAAGTTGAGCATAAAATTCGATCACTGTCTTTGAAATTATGTATTTCGCCTAAGGGTCTAAGGTTTCCAAAACAGTCGGGATTTTGAAAATCCGTCAAGAACTGACCCCACAGCAAATTTACAAGTTTCCAATGTATTTAGTTATGGACGAGGTCGGCCAACTCGTTTTAGAAAAATTAGCATTGGCCGAATGTCTATTAATTTGAGATGAACCATAAATATCTTCCTGAAATATATGTTCATGGAATGCCTATTCATAGTGCTAAGCGCAAAAAATAAATTAATCGTAGTGAAAGGTTGACGTTAATCAAAACGGGCGTGTTTAAAAATATCTAATTTGCACGTAAAAATTAAATACCAAAATATGGCTGGTTAACATCTTCATGAACCTATTTTTTTTTTTTTTAAGTTTTTTCACATTGTCAAATTTTGGAGCCTGAAAAGTAAATTATATCAATACATACATTGCATTCGGGAAGGATTTGTTACCAGTTTTCTAAGAGTGTACACATCGACAATAAAAACACTACAAAAAATGATGCAAATGAATGTTGAAGAATGTGCAACTTCCAGAGTTTGACGTGCTATGGACTTTTATAACAAAATTATGATTTGAGTACCAAGGTGAGCCAAGGTGACCCAATGTATTTATAGGGCAATATGGGCTTACAACCGTCTCAAATTTCCCCCACCAAAGTTTAGGTCATTTTTATAGAACCACTTTTAAGGAAGTCCACTTTTTCAACAAATTTTATTTTACTATATTTAGGTTAAGTTTAGGAGGGGATGATTATCAATCTTACACCCCCAGATTTTGATACCGTTTAGGCAGACTATTCTCCTACTTAATGAGAGTACTAAAAGCACAAGAGGTTTATTTTATGGTCCCATTTGCGCCTGACACACCCACTCAAAAATGTCAAAAATATGCTGTTTTCAATCGTCTAAATCTATACGAAACATGCAGTTTTGATCTGATTTTGAAATTTCATACATCATCGCAGTCCCAGATAGTTACTTTCTCATATCCACTGTCAAATTCAAATTTTTGCAAAATTTTCGCTTTTCGGAAATATTGGGAATACAACAAAATTACGAAAAAATTTTCTTGCAGAATATGATAAAACAACTATTTAGGACTACAATGGTGCAAGAATTATCGAAATTTGATGAAAATTGGATTTTTGACAAAGGTTTGTGTACGGCAGTTTTGCGTATTTTTACTCGAATATGTGTGGAAAAAACTTATGCGATACTACACATTTAAATATCGTCCCATTCAATCTGAATTATTAATTCTCTAATTAAATTATGCATAAACTGCTTTTTGGAGTCAAAGCCTTACATTAGTTTTTTCGTTACTTAATTAATTAAAATTCCCGACTTAACAAGAGCAACAACTAGAAATAAGTTACTAATTTCGTATTTCACATTTTTAATTTAAATTTCATTATATAAAAACTACTTCTTAAAATTCCCATGATTTTAAGTTAATAAATGTTTGAGACATTTCGCGAAAATAAAGTTGTAATTTCCCATAAATACAAAATAGTGGCAAAATATACTAAAACTGTGCTATTTTGCCCACGACTTTGAGACACTAGAAAATCATAGGATTCAGTATTTATATTAATGACTAATCGTAGCAATCGGTGTTACCGGAAATTCATAATCTCGACTATTAATTTGCTAAATTAATTAAAATACCCAGCAGACTTCCCCCCATGAACAGCTTCCCAAAAATTCAACTACCATTATCCTACGCTCTTAGAAATAATCACAGGGGTAAGTGCACTTTTTACACTATATGAAGTAAAGTTTACTAAATCCAGAGTAACGCTTACTTGATTCGGAGTAAACCTTACTTCATATAGTGTAAAAAGTGCACTTACCCCTGTGATTATTTCTAAGAGTGCATCGCCTAACATTGACACAGTTATATCTCAAACAATTGGAGAGGTAACAATTTGAAATTTTGCGTGATCAGTATTTATGGTACCCGGTCCTAAGACCCGTTTCTAAATTCGGGTCCGGGTCCCACCTGGGACCCGACCCGTTGCGAGCACTGGTTTTAATCTAATTTGTAATTTGTTTTAGAAAACCCCACAAAAAGCCACAAAACATGTAAAAAAAACCCCTCAAAAACCCACAAACCCCGAAAAGACCTCCAAAAACGTATGGAATGCAATGTTTATTGCAAAATTATATAAGGCAATGCACATACGTAATTTCCTCCTCCTCAAAGTTGTTGCAACCTTGACGGAATACGACCTACATATGGTCGCCGTAGATCCATAAAGTACCAAGTTGAAAACCAGTTGGGACCATAAAGTACCATTTAGTATTTTAATAACGTACAAAACGGTACTTTATGGTTCCAACTGGTTTTCAACTTGGTACTTTATGGATCTACGGCGACGATATGTACTTTTGTACAACTGAACCCAGTAAAATGTTCGCAGATGTCATTTTACAAAACAAATTTTGACTGATGTGGTGATATTGGCATGGCAACATTAATCTTTTAAACTTGGCTACTCGAAACCTTGGTACGGTTACATCATTTCGGGGTTCGGTTGTACATATTTGTAAATGCTGGACAATTAAAACCCATGATGCTCAGGTCGAAGTTGATTGATTTATTACCGATAAAAATTCTTCCTCGTCTCTTACGTCCTGTTGTTAGTTTCACACTCCATATTGCATAACACCTTATACTGTTCATACATTCATTCATTTAATGACAAATGAATAAATTATTCATTCAATATTCAAAAATTGAATGAATATTGAATGAATGTTTTAAATACTCTGATTTTTAAATAAATGAATATTGAATATCTATTCAATTCGTGTGAATGAATATTTTTTTTACCACGCATTTTTTACTTACTGCTGAATACATAGGGAAAGTTGAGAAATTCATCTATGTAATACTGTGAATTTTGAATAAAATGAATATGTAATGAAGGAATGGTGAATAATAGATAAATGTAGAATAATTGGTGAATATTTTTTACATATTACGAATGAGATATTATCTATATTATGATTATTTTTTTGAAGGCTTTGAATGAACGAAGTTTGAATGAATAAATAGTTTTTGAACATGTATGATACTGTTATGTATGCCAAAGTTATTGCGAAACAATTTAGTTAAAACATATATGTAGTTTGCCTATAAATAAACCGTTAAACGCATGTAACGAAGGGGTGAAACCGAGAACTTTATAACATTTGTGATGTCACATAGGTATCAAATTTAACATTTGGTGTCAGTTAACAGTTAACAAACTGTCATTGTACAATTTTACGTTCTTTGAGGTCAAAACGGATGTCACCATTGAATTCGGGGTTAAATTTCAGTTAAAATTGACATATATATCAGATATAACGTTTAGTGGTCTTTCAGTGACCTCCCAGTGACCTTTGGTGACATTTGAGGTCAAAATGAATGTCACAATTGAATTCGGGGTTAAATTTCAGTTACAATTGACATATATATCAGATATAACGTTTAGTAGTCTTTCAGTGACCCCACAGTGACCTCACAGTGACCTTTGGTGACCTTTGAGGTCAAAACGGATGTCACCATTGAATTCGGGGTTAAATTTCATGTCAAATTGACATATATATGTAATTTAACCCCTTTGTGACCTTTTGACCTTGAAGGGTTTGACCTACAGTGCCCATCTTCGAACTTGACCTTTGTTTTTGTATCAAGTATTTATGTTCCAAATTTCAAGTCAATATGTTAATCCGTTCTTGAGTTATCGCTCGGACGGACGGACGGACATATCAATCTTATAAAGGGGTTTCACCCCTTAATAAATACTTGGTAATTTCCCAAATAACAATCCCGATTGCTTGACGTGTTCACCGAAGTGACATTCATCGATAGTCTGACGAAAATTTTTTGTTAGCTTATATAACATCCTGGTCGCTTATCATAATTCGCAGAATGCAAGCAAGATTGCGGATATAAAATGGATGGGATCCACCCAGTTGAAATCATTGGCATAAACGCATCACACAATTCAACATGTCTCTCAGCACGAAGGCCGTTTACTTCGTCACCCTTCTGGTACTGTGTCACCAATTTGAGCCAACAGGTCAGCACATTTAAAATTCAATTAATTTAATTATCGTGTTCTAATTCTAAATAGCCCTAGTTTCCATCGATGCTTAATGTTAAAAAGGTCTAGAGTACTTGTTAAACTATTGGACATATGGCTTTTTAAAATTAAGCACTGATGGAACTTAGGTCTATTTAGAATTAAGCATCGATGGAACTTAGCGCTATTTAGAATTAGTACGACGTTATATCAATAAATTTAATCCTCCATCAATCCAATATTTAGCCGCCGTATCCTGTGGCGACGGTTGGACGCCTTTCGAAAATTCAAAATGTCTTAGATTCTACGACAACTTTGAAAACAAGGACGTGGCTACTCTGACGTGCGCCTCTATACCTACTGAACCCGTCAACACGGCAAGTCTGCTATCGATAAAGTCACAACCTGAGCAGGATTTTATGAACAGCTGGCTCTTCCAAGAACTTGGAGTGCTGAACAGCATCTGGTTAGATGGCGTCCGATTCAACACCACCCATTTTGTCTGGGAGGACGGCGACTCCATGTCCTTCCTCAACTGGGACGACGGATATCCCACAAATCAAACGGCAGAGAATCTCTGCATGGAGATGTCACCCAAGTCGGGACGACGGGAAATTGGAGCTACTGACGATGGAAAATGGAAGGACGTTCCCTGTTCGAAAAGAAATTTAGTCGTTTGCGAAAAGAAGCCCATGCTGACAGTTCCAGAGCTTCAAGATATAGTGTTCCAGCTACGAGACAATCCGGGTAAGGGTACAAAACAATTGTGCAAGAATATGTATATAACAAGTAACAATTACTACATGCATAGGTTGTTGCTAAATTGTGTATTTAGACTTTTCTAACGCATAATTAGTCGCAATCCGAATTTTGCCACACTCTCGTTGCTAATTATTAAGTAGCAAATTGAAATCTGTTTTCGCCATCATATATATGACCCTAGAAGGAGGATCCTATCTGCTTTTGGGGGCAGCCGGGCCACACCGCTTGACACCAGGGGTGTGGTCGGGGCAAAATGAGATTTTTACAAAAATTGAATCTATAGATGAAATACCATGAAATTAAGTTTCCCTCGATGTCATAGGAGTGGTTGGGGTGAAATGAGTATGAAGCTAGTTTCTTATTTGCGTTTACGTTTGTTTGTCTTAGAAAGAAAATTGTTTGTTTTATTTTAGTTCCAATTGGTTTCATCTACGTCCAACTGCCACTGCATCCCTCGCCACAAACGTTATGGCCAAATCTAATCTGGCGCAACGTGTCGGATAGTTACGCAGGCTTGTTTTTCCGAACAGAGGGAGGTACAGCTGCTGCCTTTGGTACAGTACAAGATGAAAGCAGCAATAGGCTCACTACAGTAACTCATGCATCTACGGTTAATTCGACCTCCAGCGTTACAGTTCCGAGCTCTGGATATTCCGAATATCTGCTCACCGGGCACGCTGCATCCACAAATACGCATGACGATAGCATACGTTTTCGAAATACTGGGTCCGAGACTCGTCCACGAAATATGGCTGTGAGAATATGGGAGCGATTGTAAAAAGTAATGACTAAATTTTGTTGAAAAAGAATTGTATCGATTAAACTTTTTCATAATTTAAGCCGGTTCGTTATGTGATTGTCAATAATTTAAATAAAATTATACTATATAACCGGCAATAACAATAACTTATTGGCAGTAATTTCTATGATTTTTGCTAACAAACTTAATGCTTGAATCCCCATTCTGTTCACCCACACGGTTTTGGGGGACATTGCATGTGAAAGAGATTGCTGGAAAACTTGGAGTTGGTTCAAATACCGTCAAATTGTGGACAAACATGAAGTCAACAAGTTCCAAAATTCCGTCAGGCCTATCCACTATAAACATTGACCAAGTAGTTTCAAAATGTCAACCAAATCAGAGGGATACACCTCACACTATCGCATTTTAAGTAGTTGAGTCGATAGGTATACATATTAATTCGTCCTTATTATTTATTCACATGTAAAATACTCATTTTATAGATATTTCGATACATATATGTATACCCTGGCACATAGTTTGAACAAGCTTATAAAGTAGAAAACTAATCAAACCCTTCAAATTGCTGTCCTGCTGCCTGGAGAAATGAGTGTGGGGAGCAATTAGTGAGACTGTTTCTGTACTTATTTACATAAGTTGCCACGCTCGCCTTTGTTCTTGTTTTTTGCTACAAATATTGAACGCCGTTTCCGATACGTGCATATCTACCTTACGCCATCAAAGAGCTGGGTTTGCATCGGCTACCTTACTCGCGTGAGCTTCAATTTGAGTTGGACAGGCAAAGAATTGAATTCTGCAAATTTTTGATGATGTAACACATGGACGTTCCCTAACATAGCATTTTCATGTGGACGACGTTTCCGCTTGGAAATTAAAAGAATTTTAACATTTATGCAGCGAGTAATGATGCAAAACTTACGTGCCAAAGGAAATGAACTGAATATTCATCAACAGGAAATTTTAACATTCTGCTTTCGATTGTTAGCGAAGGACGGTCGAAATGCTAGGCTTATAGCAACCGGAAATTTTTGTAGAGCCTTGAAACCTAAAGGGTAATACTTTATGGGTATTATCATATTCGACGGCAGCTCCCTGATTTTATCCCTGACCAACACTACATATGTGTGCATCATAATTTGAAAATGGGAGAATTGAAAAGATATACACCTTGGTAGAAGTGGACGATGAATTAATTACCAGAAGATATGCGTACACATTTCATGCAAAGTTCTACGTAGATGCTTGTAAATTTTTCGTGCTCAACTACGTGGTTTGTTATAACTTTCCCCTCAATTGGCCCAGCCGGATTAATGATGTTGCCAACTAACTTGATCTTCGTCCTGTACGTTGCAGTACGTCTACATTGCTCGGCGGGTGCGTCCGTTTGGGAAGGATTGTTTCTCGAGGCCGATTTAACATTCGTACTCACTCAGCAGTGTAATAATTCAGCAGATGTCGGCTTTGATTTCACTTATTTTGGTTCAGTAATGGCCGAAAATCTAAATACGCCGATCCGTCTCCTTTATCGAATGCCATCAGACCTCATCTTGTCTGGCAAATTCTACTTGCACGAGGCGATTCTGGAAAAAGTAAGGCGACATCAGGTCATTTTTATCCCGCTAGACAACGCCAAAGGGTATGAATTTACGCGTCACAAACCTGAATACCCTATTCATCACGTCGAAATTGTTTTTCGACCAAACTACATTTTTGCTAGAACAGGAATTCACCGCGATGTAGCCACTTTTGCCCCCATAGCTCGATTCATAAGGTCTGCAAAGCTCATACTATTTCTAGACGGTATCAGCTCTCCTCTATTCATCCCATGTTTGACGTGTGACCCTGTCAGTATCTTCTCCCAACCCGACACTATAACCTCCCTCTCAAACATCTCGCAAATCTGGGCAGCCAAAAACAGGGACATGCATAAATACTTGGTATTCGTTAATGACAAGGTAGATGTCAAGTGCGGCCTGCTTCACGGGGGAGTAGTAAGACTCCCTGATCAAGAGTATCAACAGTATCCTGATTTCTGTCCTGTTGCCACAATTGCGGAAAAGTATAATTTATCACTGCAAGAGTACCAAAAGGATTACAATGTAACAAACCAAAGAAATTTTGGCTTAGCCTTATTCCACAAAACTGCGGAAGCCCTGTCGAATGATTATGTTTATCAAGTAGACCTCGTATACATCAAGTTCGTAACGATTACCAACCCTCCATCCCCGGGAGGAAGCGGGATTGATACATTTGTGTTGCCTTTGGATATGGAGAGCTGGATTTGTCTCTTTGTTACTATTTTTCGGTTGCTGGATTTTTAAGTCTGCTTGCACGACCGAGCTCCTGGACAAATTTTTCTGCTCTTATGGCAGACAGGCTAATCACTGTAACAAATATATTTCTAGGAAATGCTTGGAGATTGTAGCGGGAAAGCGTTGTAAAAACCAAGCTATCTTCTACCCGAAGTATAGTGTCTTTACTAGATATTTAAGTGTGCCTTGCTCGTTGGAATTAAAGAAAGTGGCGAGTGAATTAAACGTTGAATTTATCTACTTAAACTAGATTTTATTTAAACGATTATTAATAAAGTCCACACAATTCAGAGCTCTGGAACAACACGAGTTGATTGGTGACTTACATTTAATTACAAATTGATCGTGTGCAGCAAAAAAGAACTAACAATTCCTAAACTTGACTGCCTACCACGACGACTAAAATACGACTTGACTGACTTAGACGATTGCTAAACTCCAAGTGACTGACTATTTCTACTTACTTACTTACTACGACTTAAGACAAAGAACGACGCGCACCCAAATTCCCTCCCCGTCATCTCCATGGCAACCACCACCACGTCACGGGGCAATTATAGACGCGTACTCAATAAATTAGTCAAACCAAAATCGGAGAAAACCATTTCATTCATACAAATTGGTTTATCACCTTGACAAATAAAAAAATCACTCCAAATGGGTTCCCGTAAATTTCATATGCACATTAAATATTAGATATATTTTTTAAACTTACAGAAGTTTTGAAAAACTAAGCATAAAACTAAATTGGCTAGTGCAGTTGCACTTTTATTATTTTGCTTGAAATTTTTATGCAAAATTTCATACAAGATTGACACTGAATTTTCTGTTTCTGCGTTGCTTCAAACTTAATTGGAAGTTTATTTTATTACATTTAGATTTAGACTTAACTATCTATATACTTATTGATAGAAATTAGAATTCAATTATATCTAGTGTAAACTCGGGCGCCTTACGGCGCCCCCCTGGGATTTGGCGCCCCGGGAAACTGCCCGGGTTGCCCACCCCTAAATCGGGGCCTGCATGGGTGGGCGATTTTCAAAAAAATTGAAAAATCACAAAACTTTACAGTTTACAAGATCCCTTCAACGTGTTCAGTAAAAGTAGATGTATTAGTGAAAGATTTTTCCAGTCGATTAATAAAGAAGTAATATAATACCAAAGTATTTTCTAAAGTTCCAAATTTCAAACTCGTCTTGTAAAAATGTGTAAAAAATGTTATGAAAAACAATATGAGCGTTTTACACTCATATCGTTCAAAAGAGACCATAAAATAGATGTCTGGTGGGGGCGCCTGAAAAAAGCTTCTTTAGGATGGGCGGAAGGTGCCACTTTCAAAGCGGTGTTTCGACCATTCGAAGCAAAGAAGGAAAAATTGCACTATAGCGGCCTAGCTCGGATTTGGCTGAAATTTTGGGAATACCCTACGGTCCCCTCAGCAAGAAAATACCATTTTTTCGCGGCGGTCTTGAAAAATAAAATTCCTAGAAATTTTTGAAATTTTGTTAAAAATCATTTTTTTTGTCTCTGATTTTCATGAAAATCATTTTCCAGACTAATTGAAGTATCCTGAACAAGAATCTGAAGGAATTTTTGAAAAATATTAAATAGTAAAAAAGTTATCAATGTTTCAAGTAGTGTGCAAAAATTATTTGTCTTGGACGTTTCAGAGAATTCAAAGACTTTGTCTCACTTTTCCCAACGGTATAAATTTTTGGGGTAACATCAGATTTTCGGGATAAGATGAGATTTCTAGTTTCCACTTATCCTAGCTAGCTTTCCTAGGTAGCACTACTAGCTAGCTTTCCTAGGTAATACTACTAGCTAGATTTCCTAGGTAGTAGGCTAGACAAACATTCCACGCTTTCCGCGTACCTAACCTAACCTAACCTGCTCGCTTCGCTCGCTTAAATACGAACAATATCCCAATATGGGACAAAAAGTAATTTTTGCACAAAATTTCAAAAATTTGTAACTTTTTAGTTGTTTAATATTTTTCAAAAATTCCTTCAGATTCTTGCTCAGGATACTTCAATTAGTCTGGAAAATGATTTTCATGAAAATCAGAGACAAAAAAATGATTTTTATACAAAATTTCAAAAATTTCTAGGAATTTTATTTTTCAAGACCGCCGCGAAAAAAAGGTATTTTCTTGCTCAGGGGACCATAGGGTATTCCCAAAAAAAAATTCAGCCAAATCCGAGCTAGGCCGCTATAGTGCAATTTTACCCAAAGAATAATTAGCTTCAACCTTTGTCTCGATCTGACCAAAATTTTGTTTAAATAAATTTTCTGTTTTGTTTTGTTTAATATACAAACTACAAACACATATTATGTGTGTGTAATTTGTTCGCTTCATTCTTAAGCGAATCATATGTAATATCCCGACTTAAATTGAACTTTTAATCAAAATTTATCCCCAAACAAGGTCTAGCTTATCTGAAGGTAATATCTTTAAAAACACAATTCTTTTTCATTACATTTAACAATTTAATCACTTCAAGCAATTTTCCTTTCATAATAGGGAATCATGTTGGAAATATATCCTTATTTAAAGTGCGCCCTTTAAATGGGTCTAATATCCAGAAAAAGGCAGCAAATTCACGATATTTGCAAATCAATATAATGCTTTATTACAAATAGAAAATTCCAATTATCCATACGGGTCCATCTCATCATGAGTTCGCATGTTTGCATAACGACAAATTTTTAGAAACATATTTAACCATCTTAAACCAGCCTTGGAGATGCCCAAATTCAGGAAACATTCTCCAAGCAAATAAATTGCGAACTTTATTTTTTGCGAAGTTGCCAACGTCGTAATGAATA